TGGCCCTCCTTTTCAGATATTCACCCTTCTCTATGGATATTGTTTTCTGAATCTCCTTCACGGAGTGGTTGATGATTGGCTATAGGTTAGACGGCCAAAAGGGTGGTGTGGTTTGTCTGTATGACAAAGAAAAGGTGGGTGCACAATTAGGGTTAGCATTATGTTACCTTTATTTCGATTTCTTCTATATATGTGTGCTTGGTCATCATGGAACATGACAGAAATCCTGTATTCATTTGATATTTCTTCAATATAACTGCCAACGGGAGATCAAATAGGTGGCATACATTAAGAATCAGAATTTAGTACAATTACGGATTCACAGCTTACACTTTGGGGAAAACGCTCAAAACCTACGCATGTTTTATGATCTGTAGCTACTGGTATACGTAACAGAATTTGACTGAGTTTTTGTTTGCAGTTATCCAGTTCTAATTTTTTCCGGTCAAGTGGACCATTGAGGCGTCCAGTTGTCTCTAGCATCCGAGACCCAGTGATTGCAGGGGGTGAACCTGACCCCTCCGGCACTCTGACAAAAGATGCAAGCCCGGGACCATTGCGTAAAGTATCCAGTGCTGCACGGAGGAGTTCACCAGTTGTGTCCTCAGATCACAAGCGCAGCTCCTCTATCAAAAATGCCAACATAAAGAATTTAGAGTCCACCGTCAAGGGAATAGAGGGTTTAAGTTTTCGATGATGAGGGACTGCATTAGTAGCTGTGCTTTGTCTCAGTTCTCCGTTCACTGTAAATTTTGGCACACCAACTTGGGGAGTAAGAGTTCTGATATTAGTTGCTGTCAGGAAGTACCATAAAGCTGAATTATACAATTAAAATTTGGGATCCAATCGCAAAAGCACATTAAGGATATGATGGGGTTGCAGATCCAAACTCACAGATTCCAGTTTATGCTCGTCCATACAGTTATAGGCACTTTCCATATTCTTTTCTTTAATCTCTGTCTCTTGCTTGTTATTGTTATGTCGTGGTATTCTTGTTGAGGTCATGTTTGTGAATTGCGAAGATGGTCATGTATAATTGCCGAGAAATCATGTACTAGTTTGTTTTAAACATGAGCAAACTGTTATTTTGTTCAAGCTACTTTAATATCAGTCAATCACGGCGTGGTCAATTTAGGGGGTCTTAGCCGGTGATTCATTTCAGGCTGTTTCCCTCTCGACGAAGCATTGTCGTATTGGTTGATATTGGCCTTTGTATCATATATGGGACAGTAATTTATTCGAGTATGTCCAGTCAACCTTTATACATGCAAATATTTTTAGTTAGTTTGCAGCCATTGTTACTAGTAACAAGCAGTGTTTTAAAAGGCGTGGGCGTAATGCGAGGCATGAGGCGTAAGCCCCATAGGTATTTAATTTTTAATATTTTNATATATATGAGTGTGTGTGCGTGCGTGTTCCATCCTCACAAAAAACTAGTCAAAACAATCTATTATACTCTACTTATAAACACAAGTAATTTGAGTCTAAAGGAATAAAACTTTTTACATAATGGAACAAAAAGGATGACGAACATGCAATTTGAACTTGTTGCTATGAAGGAGAATAAAGTTCTCTTTGTATTTGTAAAAAGAAAATTAAATATTCGTTGCTTTTGGGAGATATTAGCAGACTAGCGGACAAGATAAAGAATTGGGAAAGATCATGAATTAGGGCTTCAATCAATAAAAAAAGGTCTTGACTTTTTAATTTAATATATTTCAGTTCCTTTTTAAAACTTTGGAGTAATTACCAAGCTCACTTTTGAGAATTTGGGTATAATATGAAGGACTTATTCAACAAATTTTGTTTTAATTTGAAAAAGTCTCTGTGGCTTACGCCTCACTAAAAAAACGCGCCTGATGACAGAGGAAGGTATTCGGTTCAAAAAAGATACGGCAGTCAGAACAGCTTCAGTCCAAAATTGACTAAGGACAGAAGCAAGCTACAAGCCCCAAAGTGTTCCCGGACCGCATGCATACATCCGAACGCCTGGGCGTACGCCCCGAATTGATGGGCGTACGCCTCTTGAGACTTTCGCCCCACACTATCGAATCGAGGCATTTTTAGTACGCCTCGCCCAAAAAATGCCTTTTAAAACACGGGTAACAAGTATAGTGAAACTTGCACATGTTATGAAAAAGGCGGAATACGTAAAAATTCCCCTAAACTTGGCACGGATTTTTAGTTACAACCCTAAATTAATTGTGATCTTAGTTATCCCTCTGAATTTGGTTATTTGAGAGCCGTTACCCCCTGGATGCTCAGTGGGTTATTTTTCAACCGTTAATTATCACATAGTCAAGTATAATGATTTATTTGTTTCAATTGTATTTTTTGTTGTTACATAGTCTACAGGGGGTCAAGACTATATAATTGTTATATCTTTTTTAGATGCCATGACTATTTATTTAAAATGTATAGTTCTTTTTTAGGTCAAATTCAAAAAAGAGTAACTAAAACTTCATTATTTTTAGCCAAAATAATATAGTTATAACCAAGTTTTATTATAAATATTATCCGAAAAAGATCATCTAAAAAAGCAACACACTTAAAAAGGTAATGAATATATTTTATTATTCAAAAAATGCCATATGGGTGTAACAACTTCCCGGGATGAGATTATCTAAGGAAGTAACAACAATCGAATAACTAAGTTTAGGGGATAATTAAGATTAAGAATAATTTAAGGATGTAACCAATAATCCGGGGTTTAAAAGGTATTTTGGCTAAGAAAAAAGAATCTGCCTCCTCAAGCGCCAATCATCCATATCGATATTATTATACAGTTATGAAGAACCAATAAAAAAGGTTATGGAATTCGGTGAAGTTTCCTAGTACTAAATGCACATGCTTTGAGGGACTCAAAAAATCTCTCTTCTGAATTCTGATTCCGTTATACTCTTTTTTAGCAAAATATAAACTCCCAATCTACCACTTTATAATACTCCCTCCGGTCCACAATAAGTGACTATTTTACTTTTTTATTTTGGTTCAAATTAAGTGTTCATTTACATAATCAAGAAGGAAATAATTTTATTTTTCTAAAATTTGTCCTTATTTACATATTTCAATGTGTTAAGGTAACAATTAATTAAGATTAATTTAATGAATACATCTTTTTTCTCTCTAGGAGTTCGTATTTCCTTAATAGGTGTGCCAAAAGTAAATGGTTACTTATTGTGGACCGGAGAGAGTAACATATTACTTCCACCCGTTCATAATAAGTGACTTTTTTACCTTTGGTACACCCCTTAAGAAAGTACTAATTCTTAAAGAAAAAAGTGTATTGAATAAATTACCCTTAATTACATATTGTTACGTTGACACATTGAGATATGTAAATATGTAAGGGCAAATTTTGAAAAAACAAAATTATTTTCTTCTTGATTATGTGAAAAGACACTTATTTTGGACTAAAATAAAATAAAAAAGTCA